TGCCAGTATCTTGTAAGAATATTTTTCACTTGTTTATGACAAAAATTAGATCATTTCAGATAAATTATATTTAAAATATGTAGTATTTCAATAAACTTAATTTTCATATAGAATCCCTTCATGGATTTTCCTTTAGCTGATGAGGGGGCTTTTGATCTAAGAAATTGGACCTGTGCTCCCATTCTTTGGATCAAACCTTAATGCATCCCAGTCCCCTAGGTCCTGCATGACCCCCACATAATATTTTCAATATACAAATGTTGCAAAATTGTGGCATATTTTCAATCACTGTTGAATTCATCTATGACTGCAACTTCAAAAAAATAGCTAAAAGCCCATATAAGAAGGCTAGTAACAGCTAATTTCACTAACCACACATTACTATGCCATTATCAGTCATTCACTTACCCTAGATGTATTTACACAAACGTTGAATGTTAGTGATTGATATTAGTGTGGGGAAGTACATAAAATACACGAAAAGTAGAGAATCCTGTAGGATCACCATGATACATATTTGTTTTAAGTTTAGAGGGACACTGCAGTATACACCATTTATTAATATTACAATCAAAACAGCATTAAATCCACAAGGGTTCTGTTCATGATCACTGGAGTCTCAGAAAAGTCAACAAATGTGATGGAATTAAATTAATCTAGTCCTACATACTCATCATTATATGCAGTGTTTTCATTTATTTTATATTTTATTATCACACTGGCCGATTCCCACCAAGGCAGGGTGGCCCGAAAAAGAAAAACTTTCACCATCATTCACTCCATCACTGTCTTGCCAGAAGGGTGCTTTACACTACAGTTTTTAAACTGCAACATTAACACCCCTCCTTCAGAGTGCAGGCACTGTACTTCCCATCTCCAGGACTCAAGTCCGGCCTGCCGGTTTCCCTGAATCCCTTCATAAATGTTACTTTGCTCACACTCCAACAGCACGTCAAGTATTAAAAACCATTTGTGTTTTCATATCCTCTGCATTGTATATTAAAATGTGAGGGAACTGGAGACAATGTTTATATACAAATTGAGAAGATTGACACAAATGCACCTATTCATGAATGCAACTTCCACAGTGGCACTCCTCTATGGTCCAACGCTATTGATGTCATTTTAGAAAAAAAAAAGTTTCAGAACGATGGCAGGCAGGATGAAAAAGACATTGATACACGTTATGCTTTCTACCTACTCATCACGTGCATGTCCCTCCCAATACTTTCCTACTTCTTAAGATGCTCCCCAGCCTTCAGCAGTCTTAAACTCAAGGATTATAAAACCCTCCTAAAGACCATGCTAGAGTGTATACTGAATCTTTCCCGTGAAGATGGATAGTGGTTGTAAGCCTTACTTCCAGTCAGGCTTGGGGGTGGGGAGATTATGCAAGCCCTCCCAGATTGCCCTACCAGCTTATCCTCCTCCATAGCATTAGATGAATTAAAACAAATTCTTCTGGACAACCTTAGCGACTCAGCAGGAATACAGAATCTTAGCTATGCCATTGCCCAGTGGGAGAGACTGGCTGCTCCAGCACCAAAACCTAGTGTGGCACTGGCCTACAAACATTTTATTTGGGATGACCCCCCCATCACTGAAAAGGTGCGTGATGGCATGCTCAAGGCCGCAACATCCAATGGAGACTGCCTGTCTCCAAGCTGTGAGTGCACATCTCTGGGGCTTTCTCCAATTTCCATTTCAGCAATGGGAACACCTCGATTCACAGACCCTCCATACTGCAGTGGCTCTCTGCCTCACTGCCCCAATTCACATGGAATATGTATCTGCGGGGCGATACGTTCTCAGAGATGAACACTTCTGTGTCCAGCCCTAACAGCAACGTTGTCATAGCACTATGACCAACAAACTTGTAGCTCCATTTCATCCTTCTCTAGCTGTTTCAAGATGTCTTCAATCAAGCTCTCAGCATCCTTCTGGCTTATTTGGATAAAACCAAGGAAAGACTCTAACACAGACTATTTTCCTCTCAGAATCGACTTCCATGTACTGTACCGCACTACTTCTGACATTACTCACATTGTGCCTGATCAGGAGTCCGAGTCGAACATGAGACCATAGTACTTGGCTTTAAGAATGCTTCTCAGTAAACTGGTGAACAGTGGATACTATCATGTGGATGATCCTGGATTAATTTCCATACGAATGAGGTCTTTCATGACAGGGTCAAATATGGTCAGTAGTTTCAGTAAGCCAAGGAAATTTCCCACATTGGAGTCACTGTCCTCGCAAAGCCAGGTTTTGTGTTGCAAGGAAGGTGAAGGATTCTCATCAAGATATGCCACTTATGTTTTCAACCAAATTCCTTTCCACTGCATGAAGCACTCCTGACGAGTCTTAGCATTTTCATGAATACTAATCCTTTCAGCCCCTCAAGGAAGGCTCCTTGATGCTGGTGAGGGGCTCTTGATTCAGGGAATTGGATCTGTGCTCCAGTTCCCTGAATTAAGCCTGAATACCTTCCACATCCCCCCACAGGCGCTGTATAATCCTACGGGTTTAGCACTTCCCCTTGATTATAATAATAATAATAATCCTTTCAGGTGCTTGCTACTGGTTGAATCCACTTTACTGCTCCAATGAGGATTGATGGTCTGACCGAAAATAGAAAAGACAACATATATAAAATGCAGACTTTTTAGAAGGGGAATAGACCAGCCATGAGTGAGTTACTTCCTGAGCATGACCATTTCCCAGTTTCCTCTTCAACCAGGTTTTGTACAATGATCAGTTGTTTGTTGGTAGGAAAGGCCCCTTACTGTTTTGACAATAGTTTGAACCTAGCTTTATTTCTGTTATCAACACGTCAGGCAGAATTGCTTTTCCAGTATCCTTGTCGAACTTCAGAAGTCCAATGTCATCTGTTCAAGTCACTATTGGTATGGCAGTTCGAGGCTCTTCTACACCATTCATTTCACTAGGTTCAGTGTTGTCAGGTAAAATTTCATCGATAGACTCAACATCACTATCATCTTCCCCTCCTGTCATGTGCATATTCTCTTTGGCAGCCTCACTTTTAATCTCTTCTTATTCGGATTTATCTAATTTGACTTCCTCTTCGGCTTGACACATTTGTACCTGATCTACTTTCAGATTCTAACAGACTTGCAGCACAGACACATCAAACTTATTCCCGGCTTTTCAAAATAAGCCATGAAGAACTTAATCGACTTGGCTCTCTCTGCCTCTAATTTTCGTCTCTTCCATCCTTCAGTTCCACTTTCCTTTTTCATGAAGAAACGTTTCACTGTATTCTTACACAATGCTCTGAAATAAGGAAATGGCTCTTTTAATAAGAATATTAAATTTCACAGATTTTGCACAAAATTCAAGACTACCTCCCTAGTTTGTGCAGAATGGTCTTACTGCCAGTTGGCATTGAGCAGTGGTACTGTGAAGTATGTGGTCATGTAGGTCTTAGCATTTTATTTTTACCTAATAATTTATGTAAGTGGTTTAACAATCTAGCCATCCTAGCTAGTGCTTCTCACCCATGATAATCAAAGACAGATCATACATACCAAGAAAATATTTTTTTTCACTCTCCAAGGATTGCTTGTCTGACTTTAAACAGAAACTGCTCAGTGGTGCCCCCCTCCAAGTGGCACCCAGGAGACTTGCCATACCTTAGGTATGCCATTGCTGAGTCCTACCTTTGATACAGATTCCCTTTTTGACTTGTCAGCAACAGCTTAACTACACCTACTTCGATTTTACTTTTCCTATAGCACTCCTCACTGCCCTTACTGATTCTGCCTCCTAAGGAGGTTCCTTGACGTTGGTGAGGGGCTCTTGATCTAGGGAATTGGATCTGTGCTCCAGTTCCCTGAATTGAGCCTGAATACCTTCCATCCCTCCCCCCCCCACATGCGTTGTATAATCCTAAGGGTTTAGCGCTCCCACATGATTATAATAATAATAATGCCCTTACTGATTCTGCCTCTGGCATACTCTTCACCTTTGCTAGTCTCTGACCTGTAATTGTACATTTTAACACATTCTACCCTTCAGCGCTGTATGACCCTGGTGGGTTTAGTGCTTAGTTCTGACTAATAATAACCAAAAAAATAGTTCTTAAATCTAGCAACATTTTGGTGTATGTCTAATCTCTGTACGATAATTTTAAATGGAGTTATCGCAAATATAATAAGAGGTAATCAGTTACGGCAGGCTTATACGTAAAACAAAGTTAATATTTGTTGTAACTCCATTATTTATGAACCGATCGTTATAATTTTTACAATAGATATTCTAGGGTCTTTGTTATACAAACCGATGTTAAAATATGGGCAATAACCCTCTCCATTTTTGCATACCATGAGCGTAAAAATGCAAAAAAAATATAAAAAATATTTTAGACTACTCTGATTTTTGTTGAGACTACAAAAGATTTGTATTATATAATTTTAGACCGAAAAAGCCACTTTGCATTGCTTCATTTGTTGGTATCCAAAAATAACTTTGGCAATGCCAATATTTAAATATGGCGACAGATTTGTTGCCATTTAAAAAATTAAAACATTTTTTATTTCTTTATTTACTGCACGATCTTCATTAAATTTTTCCTCATACACTCCCATTATAGTTCTCCAGTTTAATGACCCCTTAAGGGAAGTTCCTTCACGCTGGTGAGGGGCTCTTGATCTAGGGAATTGGATCTGTGCTCCGGTTCCCTGAATTGAGCCTGAATACCTTCCATCCCCCGGACATGCGCTGTATAATCCTACGAGTTTAGCGCTCCCCATGATTATAATAATCAGTTTAATGACGTAATTTAAGCAGGTATATGCTTGACAAGTCAACTACAATTACTTCTTAATATAAAAGTTCTCGCAATTACAATTAAAAAAAATTAACTACATTCAGCTTCAATTACACCAAGCCTGATTGCTTAACTGCTTATTTTTGTAACGGTAAACCTTGTTTCAGTGAGTGGTGCCTTGATGCCGGTGAAGGGCTCTTTAACAGGAATTGGAGCTATCCATCACTTGGATTAAACCCAGTTACCTCCCATTTCCCAGGTATTGCATGACCCTTACGGTTTTACCGCTTCTCCACACACAATATGTACTAGCGAAGAAGGGGAAGATGGCTGGTGTGTGTATATATACATTTTGGCTGTGATGCCAGACTGGCAGACTCGTCCCACTCACGGCTGTACTCTCGCCTCACCAACACAACTTGTGTAAGTCCTCCATTGTGCTGACCCTATTATAAAGTGATATTATGTATTACTGTGTTTAGTGAAACGGAAACCTGCTAAGTCTTACTCGAGTGATAATTACAGTAATACGTTACAAGTGCATGTACCGGTACAGCCAAATGCTAGTTCTTAGAGCCGGCAGACTGACTGTACCTGTAGACCATACAACCGGTTCCTCGATTATACTTCGCTTTATTTATTTAACATTTTTATGTGTATGTATCTGTAAGAGGAAATACGGAGACATTAGTGACCCTGGTAATAGCTGGTATTATTATTCACAAAAAAAAATTAAAATAACTCCTGTGTAACAATCTATTCCATATATATTTATAATGCCGATATAATAGATTTAGAGTAAAACATTAAATGGCAGTTGCACTAAACAAGGACTCACTAATAATCAACTTAATCGTTTTACTTCTCCGGTGACAAGTGGGTCATGGCTTATGTGAAATTGTGTACCATACCTTACCTTTTGTCACCGTATCCCCCTTAAAAGGAAGTGTTCTTACGCTGGTGAAGAACCCTTGAAATTGTAATTGTATTCATGAAGATGCGTTAAAAATGTAGGAGTTACACAGCACTTATGAAGTGATAAATTAAGACATTCGTGCAACAAGGGTATCTATTGTGGAAACATTTCGGTTTCATCAGTCCAATACAGAAAAAAATGGTGGAAGATGGAGTTTGAGGTAATCATTTCCTCACCTTGCAGATGATGTACTCAATCAATTAGTCTAAATAGTAGTACAAGATATGCACGGAGAAGGGGCATATGTACCGGAGGCACTATACTACTGGCATGACCTACTTCCGCTAATGGATTTTCTCCACCGCCTCTACTTGCTTCGCCTCACCTGCCTCCAGTTTACACAGAAGCCCATTCTCCGTACATATGGAGTACTTCTATCAAGGCTGATGAACTGATAAAAAAATCATCTCCAGGCTGAGGAACTGATTACCTCAAACTACTCATACACCATTTTTCTCTGCAGTGGACCGATGAAGACACTGGTTGCCGAAACATTTTCACAGTAAAGAAACATAAGTGTTGCATAAATCTCATGTATCAACTTGTCTGTTTTCTAAATCATTTACATAATAATACCTGGATAGTGGTAGGTAATCAGATTCGATCCGCCCAAAGGAAGGCAGCTCTAATTTCTTGGATCAAGAGCCCTTCCCTACCATCAAGAAATTTTATTGTAATAAAGTTGGTAGAATTACCGACAATATGTAAAGTAAAAGGACACAAGTGCAACTAATGTGACATTTATTGTGGCAACGTTTCGCTCTCCAGGAGCTTTATCAAGCCATTACGTAATGGCTTGATAAAGCTCCTGGAGAGCGAAACGTTGCCACAATAAATGTCACATTAGTTGCACTTGTGTCCTTTTACTTTACAAGAAATTTTATGAAGGGTACATATACGGGTTGGGGCTTCACCTTTTCGTTCTGCCCCGGGCAAAACTGAGCCCATGTCCTTTTGGTTGTGAGCGAAGCTGTACCACCATAATTATAATCAAGGGGAAGCGCTAAACCCGTAGGATTATACAGCGCCTGTGGGGGCACGTGGAAGGTATTCAGGTTTAATTCAGGGAACTGGAGCACATCTAATTCCCTAGATCAAGAGCCCCTCACCAGCATCAAGGAAACTGTACCACGAAGCTATGAAGTACCAACATAAGCAAGGCAGATGTATCCTAAACCACGAATTAAGAGTAATTATACGTAATAAATATTGTAGAAATAAAGACGGGTTTCTTTGTCGAGAGACGTTTCGCCCGCAGAGCATGTTTCATTAATTGAAGGTGGGGGCTTCTTTTATTCGTTAGGAAAATGATAAATGTTTCCTGACATGGGGCTTAATTATATAGATTACCTGTTAGCGGCCTGTTACCAAGCTTCTGTAGATTGATAAAGCCTGCTACGAGGGCGGAGCATCTCTTAGCAAAGATAACCAGATGGTGCACATGTCTTATTCATAAAACTGTAGGAATTATGTTTCTGATACAATAAAATATCAGTAATTAATATAACTGAGAGAGGCGACAAATAGCTGAGAACATTGCACCAGGGCAAGTGAAGCAAGGCTACGTGACTGATTTATATATAGTTGCTCACATGACAAGCGGGTGGTTTGGCAGGGGGGGGGGGGGAGGGCTACACTGAGTTGAATATGGTTGTTATATATATATATATATATATATATATATATATATAAATATATATATATATATATATATAATATATATATATATATTATATATATATATATATATATATATATGTCGTGCCGAATATGTAAAACTGGTCAATTAGCAAGAACTCATTTAAAATTAAGTCCTTTCTGAAATTTTCTTTTATATGTTTAAAGATATATTTTTTTCATTAATGTTAATGTAAAAATTTATAATTTTGCACCAAAAGAGTCTTAGAAAACTTACCTAACCTTATTAAAACAAGAACAATTTATTTTAGTCTAACCCAACTAAGTATATATTTAGATTTGTTTACAATAATTTAATACTAAACAAACACAGTGAAATATATTTTTTTCGTTAGGTTCAGAATGATTTTGGCGAAATTATTGCATACACAAATTTTCACTTGTCCTATATGGCAAGATGAGCGTTGCTATTTAAGCCAAGATCGCAAGTTCTGCCTATTCGGCACGACATATATATATATATATATATATATATATATAAATATATATATATATATATATATATATATATATATATATATATATATTATATGTCGTGCCGAATAGGCAGAACTTGCGATCTTGGCTTAAATAGCAACGTTCAACTTACCATATAAGACAAGTGAAAATTTGTGTATGCAATAATTTCGCCAAAATCATTCTGAACCTAACGAAAAAAAATATATTTCACTGTGTTTGTTTAGTATTAAATTATTGTAAACAAATCTAAAATATATTTAGTTGGGTTAGGCTAAAATAAATTGCTCTTGTTATAATAAGGTTAGGTAAGTTTTTTAAGTTCCTTCTGGTGCAAAATTATAAATTTTTACATTAACATTAATGAAAAAAATATATTTTTAAACGTAAAAGAGAAAATTTTAGAAAGGACTTAATTTTAAATGAGTTCTTGGTAATTGACCAGTTTTACATATTCGTCACGACATATAATATATATATATATAAATATAATATATATATAATATAATATATATATATATATATATAATATATATATATATATATATATATATATATATATATATATATATATATATATATATATATATATATATATATATATATATATATATATATATATGGGGTCCACCTCTGGTGTAAATTGTGGGACCCATAGCCTCGGAGAAGTGGATAAAAAGGCTTCAAGGAAAAATATTTGGATTTCTTCCTGAAGCGTTTGAATATTCCACTTCCCCTACCACCCCATCTTTTCATATTTATTTATTTTTACTAATAGGAATATTTTATTACATAATATGGTACAGAAGATTTAAGAGATACATTATTGATATAAAGGTGGCATATACGGTACATGTTGTTACGTGTGTATCACCGATTATAAGGCGAAAATCTCATCCAGCTCCTCAGAGCTGGGGCGTGTGCCCAAAATACAGCAGGCATTACCCCTTTGAACAGCCGCACTGAGCCGCTGGAACAGAAAACTAGCTGCCCTGGGATCCCTAGTTACCCTGATGAGTCTTTTTCCCAGCTCCTTAAGGAATTTAGATGCACTCTTTCCCCATGAGCCAAGGGTCTCTGAGCCTATGGAACAAACATATAATGATGGGCAAGTTCTCCATATTTTCTAGACTTTTGGGACTCCCTGAAGCTGGCAGCTGCCCCTCCTTCCTCCCTGGTGTATTGGAGATAGGTATCAGCCAAGGTAGATGCACATGTATAGTCCCACACCACCTGCTTCCCATCTGTCCAGGCTTGAAGGGTGATACCATCTGGACGCTTCTGGCTGCCATCAGATCTGCATAGTTGGGGTGGTTCCCTTACTGCTGGGCATCCAGCTGTTGTGAGGCTCCTCTTGATAATGTTATTAACCTCCTCATGTCTTGCAATCTTTCCCTCGGATTTACGGTACACATATATAATATATATAATAATATATATATATATATAATATATAGGGAGGTACCACCTCTAGAACTGTTCTGGGGACCCTCATCCTCAGAGAAAAGAATAAACTTGCTTCAGGGAAAACAGTAAACAGGTGATTTCAGAATATGCAAAACAACCACTGTGAAAGAATAGAGAAATTCCAAGCGCTTTCGTGACTACTCACATTATCAAGGAACAGTTATTTTGCGTGTGTGTCTAAAATAGACACATACGCAACACTTGAGTATCTTTAATGAGGAAACGTTTTGCCACACAGTGGCTTCATCAGACCATACAAAGAAGAATGGTGAAGAACAGAAGGAATATGAGGCAATCAGTCCCTCAGCCTTGAGTCGATATGGTCAGTCCATCAATCTTCAAAAGAATACAGCATATCTGTTGAGAAGTAGCTTATATACCGTAGGCAGGAGAGGTGCAGCAGTCGTAGGTGGTATCACATTTGTTCAATGTGGAAGTAGGTCATGCCCAGGGGATAAGCGAGTGAAGAATTCCCTGTATTAAGATCCCAAGATGTTGCTGTGTCAGACAGGAATATAGAAGAATGGTTCAGAGAACCAACAAGTTGATAAATTAGACACATATGCAACACTTGGGTTTACCTGGAGTTTACCTGGAGAGAGTTCCGGGGGTCAACACCCCCACGACCCAGTCTGCGACCAGGCCTCCTAGTGGATCAGAGCCTGATCAACCAGGCTGTTACTGCTGGCTGCACGCAATCCAACGTACGAGCCACAGCCCGGCTGGTCAGGAACCGACTTTAGGTGCTTGTCCAGTGCCAGCTTGAAGACTGCCAGGGGTCTGTTGGTAATCCCCCTTATGTATGCTGGGAGGCAGTTGAACAGTC